GTATTATTATATATATATATATATATATATATATATATAGTACTATGTCCGTGGCAGTCCGTCATGGATATAGCATGTCTGTATTGGGATTTTTTTCACGTAAATTTGACGCAAAAAATATACAGGGACAGCCACGACGCCCGTAGGTCTGTGGCGGTTTTTAGGCAAAACCATCACGCACATGATGGGGGCGAAACAATGTAGCAATTCGCCTATAGGTGTTTCTAAGAGTTTTCCATATATATATATATTTATATATGTCTATATATAGCTAATATAGAATTTCTCACTATAGAACATTGAACTGACCATAGGGTGAATGGGCTGCTGAACAAAGTGCATAAACAGTGAGTAATGTAGCTATCTTAATACAATATCGTTAACAGTTTCAAAAAACCAAAAACAGTGAGTTAGCTTCACTGATTTCTTGGTGGATATTGCTCTTCTTTAGGGCTATCTTGGCAGCCCTCTAATGCACACTCTTTCTTCAAATTTTGTGAAAATATTCTAGCTTCTATGATTTCTTGTTGGATATTGCTCTTGTTTAGGGCTATCTTTGCAGTCCTCTAATTTGCACACTCTTTCTTCGAATTTTGTGAAAATATTTTGCCAAATATTATCACCTTGCAGAAGATAGAAATGATGATAATAGTATGACATTGACAAGAAACAAATATCCTAGGTAATGATATTTTCCTTTTTGTTCACTTTTTGATAGTCAACTGCCATTTTTGATTAACACAAAAAGTCAAATTTCTGCCCCTTAGCACCTCAAAAGAAAATCCACCCCAGGCATCCGGAAATTTAAAGGATTGTTGACAAAAATGCACTTTTAGTTGAAAAGCTTTCTGGTTCTTTTGAGTTGGTTTAACACGATGAGGTTATGAAATAGACAACGTCACAAACACTCTTATGGAAGATGCAAGCTTGTCTCTAACTTTACAAGTAAACTGGATTTGAGTTGAAACTGGTAACTCTCATTGATCTAGGTCCTGAATTGTCCTGAAGGAATCGGTTGGCTGAGTTTTCCCCGGTAAAACCTGCATTGCTGATCTTTTCTGTTTTGTCATAACAAAGTGAATTTATTCCATCTTCAATTTGATTCCGTTTGGATGACGGTGATGTTTTTGGAGTTTTCAAGCTGTAAGGTTGTCTGGTGCTAACTAACCTTTTATCGCCATTAGATCATGTTGAGTTGTTGCACTGTCACTTCGTGGTGAAGCATACTCTTTCCAGTAAGGGTTAGGTCTTCATGAGTTTTCCATCATTAAGTGCGTCAAAATGCACTAAGGATAAATAATTAGGGAAACCAAATGACAAAGCTACTATCTATAGCATAATGGTTAGTCTGAATGTGGCATATAAGTCGCGCACCAAGATGGCTTATTGAGGATGAGGAAAAACAGGTTTGTAAAGATTTACTGTCAACGCACAACTTCTCATGATACACTGTAGATAAGCGTGCTGTAGCGAGTGCTTGACAATGCAGTGTACACACATAAGTTGGTGCTATTAGCGATAACTATGGAATCCAAACATGTTCTAAGGATACATAATAGTGAAGAAGTTATGCAATCCAAACATGTTCCAGTGATATATAATAGAAAAGAAGTTCAAAAAATATCATTATGAAAAGTACGTTAGAAAGTTACATGCAAACATGGACTCTCAAGTATGACTCTTCAATGGTGAAAAGGGGACGAGGAAGAGATTTATAAGTTCCTTGTAGTTTTTTAAATATAAAAGAAGTTTTTCAAATTTGGAAGAAAGTAGATTCAATGTTTAGTGCCTTCCTCCCAAAGGGTATACCATCATGAGCTTTCCGTTTCATCTATGGCTGATAACAAATATTCACAAGTCAAACATGCCCCTAGTATTTAAATGCGGACTCAGCTCAGCACTCCCATTCACGCTAACCCGGAAAGACTTAGTAGTGACCATAGTTATTGGAAACACCTGAGATTCTAAATCATTTTGCGAACCGGGATCGTGGAATCGTGGCTGGCTAGAGGATTTCTGTTTTTGGAGTCGATGTCCATATAAGGGGAATTGCGGGAAACAAGATTCCTACTTTATAGGAATTGAATTTTGACCCAAATGGATCCGAGATCCCTATATACATGGAGTCGAGATCCCGACCGCTTTGGAATCGAGTTTCTAACCTATTTCAAATCAACCCATAGGAAACGAGATTCTTTCATATATGGAATCGTGATTGCGATATTTGAAATTGAGATTTTGATGTGTTTGGAATCAAGATTCATACCAGCTTGGATCGAGATTCATATCAGATTGGAATCGAGTTTCACTCCACATGGCAATCAAGACTTGAAGAAGGGTTATGTAGATATGAAATTAGTTTAGGTTACTAACTATTGAGACTCAAACACAATATTAGAAGTAAGGTCAATTCTTCAAAAGATGCAAATAATTAGCTCATGTATTTTTGAAATGAGGTTTTGATTTCATTATTATGGTACAAAGGAGGACTTTGTGTTGTCTGTGTTGTAGTTTGATATCATTTGATATTTGTTATCAAAAAGATGATTGCATCTTGTAACTTGAGGTCGAGTGTCAAACTCGCGTAATGTGATACTTTAACATAGTAAACATTAATTTCTCCAAAAAAATATATTTTGATATCGTAAACATCAATTCTCCAAAAAAATAAAAAAATATAAAAGAGTGGGAATCCCATATATGTGCCTTGTTATAATAAGGGTAAAGATGTGAAGAATTTGATTTTTAATGCTTGAAGGACCAAGTTCTCTGGATTTAATGCTCCAACGTCCTAGTTATACCTGCCTTGTTACCTGCAAAATACATTAGAAACATACATTGCGTTCATCGGATTATTATTTGGAGCACCTATAAGCACTGGGAAACAATGTTCTCCAATCATGTTCCCAAATAACTGAAATCATTACCCATAAATATTTGAGGAGAGATTCGACATTCTATGAATCACAATTTTGTACACCTATGAACACCGGTGCTTCATTTCGTGGGATCAGGATTCCAAAAGAATTCGGATCAATATTCTATGAAGGTGTAAGCAATTCCATGTTAATTGAATCGTAGCTTCCTGCATCTACAAACTGAGTTACAGGAAGCAATTCCATGTTAGTTGTAGGACCTCCTATTGGCCCAATTCCTATCTGAAATACCATGTCTTTTTACTGATTGTGAAAAGTGTCTCCCTTCACTTGATCCTTCTACCACATTTTTTAGGCATCCTAGGTTCGAAATTCCATACTGCGTTCTCCCAAAATAGGAATGCATCATTATTTATGCTTATGTCTTTCCTTGAAAATACAGTATGTCGCCTATGCATTCGTTTAACAAAATATATGATTGATTCTTGTTTATTAGGGTAAAAACGGTAAGCAACTGAGTTCTGATACTGAATATTATAAGAGTTGATGCTTGTCTTTAGTTAAGTGGTATCATTGATCTTTCTCTTCTATGTTTCCTTTGCAATAGCAATAATTGCTTCTGTCATGATTAATTTTAACGTTCTTGCTTTGTGTTAATATCGTGAGGAATGTAAGCTTTGTACTGAGTGAGAATTATATTCAAGTCTTTATTATTTCCCTTTATTTACATATGCATGCGTTATGGAGGTTGCTCATTCCAGCTTTATTCTTTGCTATTCCTCACCCCTTGAGAATAGCCATTCCCTATATGTAGGGTTGGGTTGTGTTTATATGTTTGTGAGGACGTATATGAGTGAATTGTTTATCAAAGTGATTTCAAACTTGGTTGGATTGGGGCTCACCAGTGCTCTAGCCCAGGTCGGCAGTTCAACTTGGCTGGTTCTCACACAAACTGAGCTGGTTCTATGTAAAATTTAGAGAGTAGGTCCATTACTCAGTCAGGCTCAGTCACGTCTCAAGGCTTCTCAGCCGGTCCCGGCATCTTGCTGTGTCTGAGTGACTTGGGCGAGTCCGAGATTGAATCCCCTTGTTTTCAAACATTGGTTTATCATGTATCCTCTATAACATAGAGTTAAGGATTTGCCATGTGAAACCTTGTCATATTCATGATTTTTACAATGGTGAAGGAGAAAGAAGATTTTATTTCCTTATACATTGGGATGTTGATATTTGTATTTGTCTCCTCTGTGTTAACTGATATAGGGGAAGTTAGTGATAAATTGCATACCCATGTTGTTATCTTCTATATACATGTAGAATGGTCAGAGTGTCCGAGGTGTAGGTAGCAAAAAGCAGGGATAGTGAGAGCCATCTCCTGTATGTGCACATGTTTGTATGTATAGAGTGAAGACTCCATTTGGATGCATTAATAATCATAACAAAGAAATTGTACTGCTTATCTTCATGCGCAATTTTGAAAATCGGTATTTGCTTTTTTGAGAATAGAGGAGAACCAGCATTTCTTTTTTATTTTTAGTCTTATGGGCTTTGCTGCGGCACTTTATAGATAGCAGGGTTGAAAAAATTAGGCAATGGGATGTCCAGCACTATTAACGGGTGGATGTAGAAAGGCGCTATTCCTAAAATTTTACTACGCTCAATACGCTCAAACAATGCTGAATTGCTAGTCATTGCTCAACATGTACACTTTTCAATATTATTATGATTGCTATATTTAAATACTACTGTCTTATTTCATCTATAACATATTTTTAAAAATTTGAGCCTTTCATCTTAATGATTCTTTATAATTGTGAACCACAAAGAATATCCCATTTTCTTTTACTCTGGGTTGATGACATTTGTCCCATAATTAGCTGGTATGGGGTAAGTCATGAGAAAGTTTACATCTATGTTGTTTTCTCCTTTTACTTGTAGATTGGAAGTGCCACGTTTTGCATAAGAGGGCAGATTTAGCTCCAAGTGTTATATCTATTTAGACAATTATCTCCCCTTAAAAGAACTCCTCAATTGGCATGTTGTTCTTCTCTGTGCTCACAATTTGTGCCTATGCAGGATGGAGAGGCCTTTGCTTTCCTACTAAACATATTGGCACCTGAACATACTAATCCATCCATCTTCAACACCAAGGATCCTTTTGAACGAGCAAAGCTAGTCCTTGAACATGCAGAGAGGATGAACTGCAAAAGATATCTCACCCCAAAAGATATTGTTGAAGGTTCACCAAATCTTAATCTTGCTTTTGTGGCACATATTTTCCAACACAGGTGAGAATATATTCCTGGTCTTCTTGTAAGTTACAAGGTCTCATTTACATGGGTTACCCTGACTTGCTTAGGACTGTCTCACACGTTTTTGTCTTCCTTCTTATGTTGTTTGAAATTTACTTAACTGTTAGGTGAAAGTTTGATAGATTTCAAATTCTTATCAATTCTTCTTTTTGAAATTTGCTATGAAAATTCAATGTTTATCAAAATGCTGCACTATGCTATACTTGGTACATTTGTTGACTATCAAAATGCTTCACATGTCCTGTTACATTTTTGCTCATTATGAATTCATGAAACATGGTTTAAGTGGAAGGCTCAAAAAAGCAAGGTGTAGTCTCAAAAAGACATGGTTGCAAGTAGTGAGAAAAAATATGGGGACTTATGGCCTCATTGAGGGTATGACCTGTGAAAGAGCAAAATGACGGACTAAGATTCGTGTACCTGACCCCAAATAGTTGGAAAAAGGCTCTAATGATGATGATGATGATGATTGATTCATTAAATAATAGTCTTAGGGGTGCAAGATGACAGGTAGTGTACCCTCCCATATCATCACTTAGAATGGCCCAAGTGATTAACAGGTAAGGTAATTACTGTTGCATTATTGTCTTAGCCCCATAACTGAATGTGTATTGTGTAAATTTGTGAGGAAAGATGAAGAGTGCACCATTAGGATTCCATGACCCACGGTGCAATGACCACAATATAGTTAAAATGACCATGGACATATAAACATTGACCTGACAGTCCCATGGTCCTATTTGATCTTAAAGGCACAAATACCCTTCAGTATTTATTTTCTTATTTTCTGCTGTTACTAACACAACCTCTTTAATTGATTGAGTAGTTCTGGCAAGTTATAGTGTTAATTGAGCAGTGTGAACAACTTTCCCTGTTTTGTAGGAATGGATTGTCATCCGACACCAAACAAATCTCTTTGGCTGAAACTATGTCGGATGATGTACAAGTCTCCAGGGAAGAAAGTGCATTTAGATTGTGGATTAATAGTCTTGGAAATTCTGCGCATGTTGACAATGTTTTTGAAGATGTTAGAAATGGGTAATTGGGTTTTACTCAGACCTTTCTGCTACCTTTGATCATCTAATCTATGTGGAATAATAAAAGGAAATATTAAATGTTCATATAAGATATCATATTCCCTGACAGGCTCACATTGGTACGGGCTGGAGAAAATTTGAAATCCTAAAAAAGGAAAAGAAACATGCATTTAGTCATAGATGTACTTTGAAACAATAGTTGCCCATGAAATATTGTTAGTCAAATTTTATTAGGATACTTGAAAATTTCTGGATATTGGAAATTTGCTTCTTAATAAAAAGAAACATGCATTTGTTCATAGATGTACTTTTAAACAATGGTTGCCCATGAAATATTGTTATTCAAATTTTATTAGGATACTTGAAAATTTCTGGATATTAGAAATTTGCTTCTAAATAAAAAGAAACATGCATTTAGTCATAGATGTACTTTTAAACAATAGTTGCCCATGAAATATTGTTATTCAAATTTTATTAGGATACTTGAAAATTTCTGGATATTAGAAATTTGCTTGCTTCTAAATAAAATTTTTAAATGTTTTTGTTTGTTTAGAACAAATCTGAAAATTTTCATGAGCAGCAATTTTTTAAAAAAATGTCTCAAGTGAAATGATAGAGGGTCAAATTTTAGTCTGCCACCAACTGTACGTGCACTGAACTATCCGATGAGTGACAGGCTAAACCAAGAAACTTGGTATCTTATTTTCTAATCTAATAATCTTTGGTAGCTTCTTTGATTCATTTCTTAGAAATTCCCATGTGTTTCCTTTACCCAATTTTCTTTCTTGTAAACTGTGCAGATGGGTCCTATTAGAAGTTTTGGACAGGATATCACCTGGGATAGTCAATTGGAAGCAAGCAACAAGGCCTCCTATTAAGATGCCATTTAGGAAAGTAGAAAACTGTAACCAAGTTGTAAAGATCGGGAAGCAATTGAAGTTTTCTTTGGTGAATGTGGCCGGGAATGACATTGTGCAAGGAAATAAAAAACTGATACTTGGTATGTTTCTCTAGGACCTTTCTTTCTTTCTGTATACAAGGTTAGTAAGATTATGAACCCCTTTATCTAATAATTTAATGCGGAACATTGACATCCCTGCTTCCGGAGTTTGTATTGGGCCTTGGTGTTTTTTGCAACATTTGGTGTTTGATGTCACACTGGTTTATCTGAACTGAAATATATGAAATTTATTGCAGGTCCTTATTACCCTGGATCATTACTGTTTGCTTGATTGAAGCTCTTTTTAAAACTGTCAAGAAGCATTTTACTAAAATATTTCTCTCTGTTGATTCAATGAATGCCTTTGTTGGTATCTTTTCAGCTTATCTATGGCAATTGATGCGGTACAACATGCTGCAGCTCCTCAGAAACTTGAGATTTCATTCACACGGTAAGGAGATCACGGATGCGGATATTCTAAATTGGGCTAATGCTAAGGTGAGAAGTACTGGAAGACATTCTTGCATGGATAGTTTCAAGGTATCTCATCCTTAATTTACAGCACCATTTTAACTTCCCTACCGCCAATTTCTTCTGTCTCCAATTTAATTTGCAGTTTCAATCTCTCTATTTGATTTGATCTTGGTTTTAGTATCATTATTTAAGAGGTGCCTTATATGCTTTAATTTGTGTCCTTGCTTGGATGGTTTATTCTATATGCCAAAATTAAAGGTTTGTTATTCTGAAAACTTACAGGATAAGAGTCTTGGGAATGGCATATTTTTCCTCGAGTTGTTGAGTGCTGTGGAGCCCAGGGTAGTGAACTGGCGCCTTGTCACAAAAGGGGAAAGTGGTAATTTCCAAACTCCTTCCCCATTTATGGTTCTCCTTGTGTAAACTTTCAAGAGCCCAGAAGTTGTTAAAGTATTCTCGATAATGAGTTTTATCAACCAATTGGAGAAGCCATTCATGCCCACACAAAATTTATATATACGAGATTGTAAACTGAGGGAAATAGATCTTGATCAAATTTTGAGGCACCTTGACAATGTGAGGAATTCCTATGGCTCATTTACCAAAAAGAAGAGAATTGATATGGCTTGATGCATATCTTGGAGAACATTTGCCAAAAAATTTTCTGATAACCAAAGTATAGTTTAGACCATTTCAAATGAAGAATCTTTCTTTCAATAATGCAGGCAAGTATTAGATTTGATTTTTTTTTCATATATTGAATGGATTGAAACCATTTTTCCTTATTTTAATGGCAATGCAGATGAAGAGAAAAAGATGAATGCCACCTATTTGATCAGCGTTGCAAGGAAGATAGGATGTTCAATTTTCTTATTACCGGAAGACATTATGGAGGTCAATTAATTGGTTAATGCTTGTAGTTCTTTTCTCATTTATAAGGTTGACTGCTTTGAACTCACAAATTTGGTGGTGAACTGTTTTGGAACCTTGCAGGTCAACCAAAAAATGATACTTACACTGACAGCAAGCATCATGTATTGGAGCCTCAAACAACCCACTGAAGAAACTTTGTCTGGTGCCTCAGATAGTGAAAATGGAAGCATGATTGAATCATTCTCAAACTCTACATTGGATGATAGTGCATCTGAGGCCTCTTCAGAGGAAAATGCAAACAGATAGCCATGTGAATTTTCTTTCTATTTTTTTCTTGTTTAAATTATAAATTTCTTTGTTTGTTCATAAGATCCACTTTTCTTTGATATTTACATTTATTTTCCTGGATTTATTTTATAGAATTGCACCTCTATTCAATTCCCCAACTTTATGTAGTGGGTTTATGGGGTCGGTGGTTCATTCTGTATTTTTGTTTAGTAAATTTGCAGGGCATTCTAAGTTCTTGTAATCAGTTTTGTTAGATGAAGTTGGAATGTATAGTTGTGTCCATGTTTGATCTTTACCTCTGTTTTCCATTAGTTTCATACCAAGACAAAGCAACACATCTATAGTTTCTGTACTGTGTGGTTTCCAGCTAAATGTTGCTCGATAGAGAATTCCCGAGCAGTCAATAATGACAGAACGGAGTTTGATCCAATTTTGAATTTGGATCACTGAAATTGCTAAAAAAATGCTACGGACCCACCAATTGTCAGAACCGTTCCTAATGATAAATATCCCTAATTGTCCTTAAATATTTTGCTTTTTAGAGGAGAAGCTATTGGTGAGTCCACTGACTCATGCATCTACTTGCTTATAAGGGTTTTAGGATCACTGCATATTCATTTCCACTTCAAACACATGAATACAGAGCTCCAAAAACAATTCATATTTGATGACATTTGAAGAATTGAAATAGTCTACAAAAAATAAGATACAAGATAGACCATTTTTAAGGCTCAAACTTCATTTTTATTGGGGTTGTTGACAAAATATACATGTTGAAGTTTGAATTCAAAATATGCCGCATTTACATGGAAGTAGCTAAGCCCAATTAAATTCAAAATATGCCCACCTTTTAAGGCTCAAATTACAATGGGTGCATTTACGAACATAAGCCCTGCCCACCTTTACATGGAAGTAGCTAAAACCAGTGTTGGAGACCACTACTCAGGCTGAGCACGGCCCATGCTTGATTTGAGTACTCGGATCGAGTCCGAGTAATAGGTCTTACTGTAGCAATAAAAAAATGGTTATAAAAATAAAAAATATACAAAAAATCCCCCCAAAAAAGGAAATGTAGGTTTAAAGTGAGATTAAACAAAACACATCAAAATGAGGTAAAAAAAGTAGTAAAAAAAATTAGATTTTTTGATGAGTAAAAAGTAATTAAAAAAAATAGATTTTAAAAAAATCAACCTGTGAAAGGGTATTTCAAAATAATCCAAAAAAGATAGGAAAAATGTAAATAAGCATTTATAGCTAAAACACTTTCCATTTTTTTTTTTTTCAAAATGATAGAAAACATGAAAAATATAATATCGCAAATAGTTTCCTTAGTTTTTAGGTCTTTTTATAAAAAAAATGGATTTTTTTTTTAATATCCCCCAGTTGAACACCCAACTCGGGTCTACACGGGCTTGGCAATGGCCCAAGCCCGAGTAACTCGACTTAGTAGAAACCAGTGTGCGTAAAACTGGGCAATCTAACTGCTAACCGCCCGGTTAGTTTGGAACGGACCAATGGTTGGTTTCGAGTTTGGGCGGTTTTGGTGATGAATCGGTATTTTTAAAAAACAATTAAAAAAATATCTATAAATTTCTAAAAATAAGGAATTTGATTTGTAATGCATTTTTAAAAATTCTTTACATTATGATAAAGATTAAAAATTGTTTTAGTTACTAATACTCACTTTTATATTTTCCCATCTTTTTCAAAACTTTTTAAAAATACCTCTAGGCTCAAATCGATCTGTTAAAATCTATTTTTTTCATTAATTTTTAACTTTATTTGAATGTGTTTTGTTGTAATCATTCTTTATATGCTTTTTCATATTTTAGTAGTTTTTTTTTGTATTTTTTTTATTGTTTTCAAAACTTTCTTGATCGCTTGGGACTCGCCCGATTAGAGCAGTTGAATCGGTCAGTTTACCGATAGGCCAGTTAAACCGCTTCCGATTAACCGTTCCGATTCAATTTTACAAACACTGGGCAGAAACTACTTGGCCGATTATGTGAACACTGGCTAACACATTAATATATCTTTTCCATCCTTGATCCACCCTCAAATCATGTCAGTAATTTCAATTTAAAATTAGGCTTTCGTTTGGCAGAGAGAGGTTATGGGAGGTGATAGAAGAGAAGGATTTGGATCCCTTCCTAAATGTACTATTAACTTTATTTCCCACACTAGCACAGTAACAAGAATATTTTCCCAGGAAACTGAGGACTTGCTAGAGCAATTAAGTGCAAGCCCACAGGGCTGATGCACTTATGCTACACATGGTTGGTCGATGATTTATGATACACCACAGCAACATCATCTGTCCTTTGCAAATGGATGGTGGAGATTAACCATACCCAGTGAACTGTCATCAGGATGTTTGGATATGGATGATTGGTGTCCTTGTGTACAATACACCGTAGGCAACTGGTGTGTAATATACATTCCCATTGATAGATTAGAACTATAGGCAACTGTTTATTAGAATAGAACGGCATGTAATATGTACGAATTTTGAACAGGTCCCAGATGTAGGTGATTGGTTGTATGAGACAAACAAGTTACCATCATCAACTGATTATATGATACCTTTGCTACCGTTTGTTTGTTTGTTTATTTATTTATTTTAAAGGGGCAAGGAATCAACCATTGACATCTGGCTTCACCGCTTTTACCATCTAAGTCAAGGGTTAATTTCTTATAATATATTATTAAATACTTTAAATTTCAAATATCTTCCATAAATGAACGCCAGATATTGGAGCCAGCTGGGTAGGTTGGGAAAGATTGTTCTTTAGGTGAGGTTTGCTTAAGGTGTCAACATTAAAAAATCAAAGTAAGGAAAACTTCTAAATTTTGTTGAAGGATGTAGTTCAGGTGTAAAAAATGTTTATGATAGCCCAAAAATCTATTTGGACCTCTAACTATAAAATTTAAACCTTTAAAATAGTGCAGATTGAGTAGATCCTGAAACTAAAAGGTTTTGAAAATAGACAGTCTAGATATTGTGCTACAATATAAACTATTTTAAGACTTAATTTCATTTTTATGTCATATTCAAAGTCAAGATGATCAATTATAAGGTTTTCGAAATTGGAACAAGTTTTTAAGTCAGGTTCATATAATAAGTATCTTGAGTCAACATCTTCTGCTTGCCACGTAGGAGTGCAACAAGGTTTGATTGATTTCCTTATCTTACATGTTTCTTAATTTTCTATTTTAAAGGTAAATTTTTTTATGGCTGTGGTTTATATAGAGCTGTGGCTCTAAACAATCAAAGTAAAGCATACCTTTAAATTGCATCGAAAAATGGGGTTTCAGTACTGAAAATCTTTGTGATAGACTTAAAATATATTTTTATCTCTAATTATAAAATTTAAAGTTTAAAAAATAGTGTAGATCGAGTCGATCTATGAAAACTTAAAAATCTTGCAACTTGACGGTCCAAAAATGCGTTACAAGATGTATTATTTTCAAAACTTGAAACCTATTTTTTTCTAATGTCCATACATGTTGATGTGGAGATGATCAATTTGAGGATATTTGGACGTCAAAACAACCTCTTCTAGTGAAATTTTTGAGGTAGGCTCTAATTTGATTGTTTAGAACCTCAGATCTATATAAACTTATTCTTTCTTTTATTGCAAATATGATATAAAAGTATTTCTTTGAAGTAGATTTTGAATTTTTTGGGTGTTCAAATATTAATATCTATTATGTAGATATGTTTAAGAAAGTCATCATAATATGGTTTCCACATACGTAGAAATAAGATAAATTCCATTTTTTTATGAATATTTTTATTTTCAAGTTGTTGGAATAACCATTCCAATGCCACTGTGGAGGCAAAATTTAAATAACTGGGAACCAAGTATCATATCTCAAGTACTCATAAAAAAGTTCTAGTGAATTTGGAGATGAATGATCAACTTGCATAGGCAAGTTTGACGAGTACTAGAGTTGTCGAAATTGATTCCACATCGTAAATCCCGAGCGAGGTGGAAGCTAAAAAACACTCTCACAAATGTTATATGTACGAGATGAGAAGCAGTCTGAGCTTGACTCTCTCACCCATAACTCTCTCACCCATAGCTCTTTATCTCTTAGGAGTCTATCCTTATAACTCAAATGCGAGAGTGCTCACGCATACACACTTTCTCAAACACACACTCTCTCAAAAGGAGTTCTCTCACTCTCTCACTTTTTATTATTGTATGTCATGGGCCTCCACCCATCCCTTTTTATAATCAGAGGAAGACTTCCCTCATTCATATAGGAGTAATCCCCTTATGAATAGGTATCATTAAAATGCATGGTACATACCATTCATGGGAGGGTAACCCCATGATGAAGAAGTACAACCTCTCTCTATCTCCCTCTCAAGACGAGGTAGTCAACCATGGGTATTGCCTCCCACTAAGGGCACGCCCTATCCAACTCGTCCCGTATGTTGGAGGGCTTGTATGTTAAATTAAGAGTTGTTGTTCATTATTTTATTCTGAGTATTCTTTCATACAAAAAAATACATTGTGAAGTCTACTAGAACAAACATTATGTTAGAGATAACTATACCAAGTTTTTAACTAACTGGCATTGAATGCCTCATCTCTCCCATATTTGTAAAATAAAAATTGTTCCACTTGCCCTGACATGATTTGACCATACCGGACTAAATTCTCAATTAATCCCTCATGAGACTAGCTCAGAAGATTACTTATGGGCTACATGATCATAGGAATATCAAATTGAATAGATCATGTTCAATCTCTTATAGAATCTCATCTCGATCCCTTGGTCGAGGGGATAAATACATTGTGTATATCTCATCTTCTAAGATCTCAGATATTGAGGTTAGCTCGTGTGAGTAGTAAACTTTAGGCTATCGATAAATTAAATGATAATCTCACGCTACTATGAGCCTGTGTGTATCAAAGTGCACAAACCATCCATGTGAATGTATAATAACTTCCATATTTCATTCTAACTGGGTATTTATGATCCTCCAATATCATATAAAGTCATATATCATGAGGCCCATAGTTCTTATAAGCGTTTATTGCGCTGCCCCTACAATCTCGTTAGTCAAGGGATCTGCCACCATTTCAGTAGTAGAAATAGGAGTTAACATCACGTGTCAATGTGTCGTAACATCTCGAACATGGTGATATCTAATGCTTATGTGCTTTGACTTTCTATGATACTAAGGATCTTTGCAAAAGCAAGTGCAACAATATCATACGGCTTCTTGTGCCGCACCACTACAAGCAATGTATTCGAACTCCATAGTGGAGAGAGTGAGCG